GGAGATATTTCATTTTGCTGAATTTGCTTCACTGTTTTATTGGTGCCCCAGTTTTGCTTGTAATCTCAACTAGGTGTCCAGTATATTCACCCCGAGAACTTTTCTATACCATCATAGGAAGCAGGTTGTTCAAAACTTCAAATAATGTCCAGGCCAGCCTGGATACATTCTCAAAATGTCTTCATCATCTGGTTGAAGTCTGCGTAGCAAAGATAAACTGCAAATGTTAAGTTTCAAACATGCTTGTCATGGTTGAGATGCAGATTTGAGAACACTTGTGAACCGATGGCCGATATACATGTACAGTAGGTTATATTCTTATTCACTAGGAGACATCACCCACTGTTGTAAATCTTCTTTGGCAAATGGAGTCGTGATGTGGAAATGAGTTCACTCAACAGAACCAATAAATGTTTGACACTGACCTGACAGTTTTATCTGTCATTAATGATGGACGTCCGCTCATTCTCCTCACTTTTTCTTGTCACAAAATATTTTTGTCAGGAGAGTGTCATGGACATGACTTTAAAATAACAGAAGAAACTATCAGGTCAGTGTCAAAGATTAATTATTGGTTCTGTTGAAATAAATTCGTTTTCTACAAGTACATTTTTAACAGTGAACCTGATGAATAGATCTACGAAGTCATGATGTTTCCCAGTACATTCCAGTCATGGAATGAGTCTGTCTTTGACTGTACTGGATAATAACAGACGTTTGTTAAACACCGTAACAAGATTGTTGGAATGTTTAACAGATTGCTGTTATTTTGTAGTTTATTCAAAAAGATGAACTTTGAAAGGGATTTCTGACAAGAAATATTATCCCCAAATCTTGTTAGTGTTCTTGTGCCCTACAGCCTTGTTTGTCTACATCCTTTCTTTCCTTTCTCAGTTGCTCCATATTCACCCAACTCCTACCCCAGTCATGTTGGAAAACATTCCCCATGCATCAGCCGATGCTCTAGGGCTGAATCCGTTTAGGCGTGGTGATCCTACGGCAGTGGACTCATGGGCCACATCTTTGAACGCCAAATTCCAAGAGTTCCCTGGATACAGGCCAAGCATCCAGCGGATGAGATACCGTTCTCTTATCTGTCATCCTGCGCTTGTCACTCCTGACTCTCACCTCTGATACATTTGAAACCTGATTCCCTTTAGCCTGCCTGCCTGGCCAAGAGAGAAGAAAAAAAAGAAGAAAAGGAAAGGGAACCACAGCTAATGCCATCATCTTTTAAGCTGTTTGTAATGGAAACCAAATTGTACCTCGGTGGCTTGGTGGAGCTGGCATTCCAGTGATGTCTGAGGGAAAAAATGGAACTGCCTTACAGCTGCACAGTGATTATTTGGTTGTTTGATTAATCAATTGTTGTGGCAGTTATTTGGTTACATTTTGAGGTCTGATTATTTAAAAATCATGTGGGATAAAAAGGGATTCTTAGCAAAATTTGGAAGTGTACATACATGAAAGATTCTTGAACAAAAGAAAAGGTTAAAATTCGCTTCCCAGAATTCTTTCAAAGGAAAGTAGAATGAACACAAAACAAAATTGGTGTAACTTATGCAAAGCTGAAATATATTGGTTTTTGTGATTGTGGGCCAGGATTTTCAGGAAAGGAAATAGGAAATAGCAAGTGCTAGATAATAAATCAGCTATTTGCTTAATTGAAACCTCAACCAAAAATGAAAGGATGAAAGGATTGAAATATAAATGCTAAAGTATTGTACAGTATTCTATTTAGGCCCGTTAATGGGGCTCAATCAACAAAATGCAGTATTTCCCAGCCTTATGATTTATTTGAGTTTGTAGTATTTAGATGAGGTGTTGTGTGTTTATGCCAGACAGAGTGTGTTCCCTTGTTCTCCCTTTCATGTAAATTGAGAAAGTGCTGACTGGCTGGTCATTGTTTTCAAGGGGACGACTGAATAGTTTACAGACAAGCTAATAATTAGTCAAGATTGCCGGTACAGTGTATTTTAATGCAGCTATTCAAGACTACAGTGCAGTGCATTCATCTTAACTGAAGATGAATTTGAAGAAAGAAAATGTTCATAAACCAGCCAAATAATAACTATGAAATTGATTTCCTCACTGCTTCAGACTTGTACAAACAATTGCAAGATCATGTTCCAGTATGACATCTCATGATGCATCGGATGATGCATCTGTGATGGTTGGATTTCTTTGATCAGTCCCACGTGTGCGCGCGCCTGGCACATCCTGCAAGTCAGTCAACGTAATCTAGTTCATTGACCCGACACCTCGCTGCAACAATGTGTTTGGCCCGGATGACGATTGTCTTTTTCAGAGCTGCGAATATGCGGCAACCCCTTCTGTGCCTCCGTGAATCATAACCCAGTTGTTGTTTTGTTCTTGTAGGGTCAGGTCGAACCTATCGATCCCACAGTCCGCCCCGGGGCAGATTTTTCTTCTCTGTGTTTTTTTCCTGTTTTGATGGAGGATTAGATGAAAAGGTGCTATTTGTTATCATGTATTTGACATTCATGATGTTTGAAGGTGCATGATGTACATAGAAATGCACATGGGCTATCTAGTTGTAAGTTCTGGATGTGTAAGTGAATGGGAATTTCTCTGTGATTTTTTTTTTCTGTTTCAGTCCTTATTCCAGCTTTTGTTTGGTAACTTGTTTCTTACCAGAATGATTTGGATGATAACTATTTCTTTTCAGGGAAGTTCAAAAGGATTGGAAAACTCAACTCTTGAGGAGTTCTTGATCATGTTTGTTTGTCAATGTTCTTCCTATAGGGATTTGGAAAAAAGAAACACAGATAAATTGGAAGAAAGGCCATGACGGTGTGTTATAATTTTAAATGTTTCAGTGTGTAATCAGTTTGTTTCTTGCTGCAAAAGAAAAAAATATCACTTCTTTCATGGGTTGAATTGAGCATTGTTTTCTTTAACAAGATTTATAAGCAATTGCTCAAGGAAATGCAGATTTCCAGCATACCGGTACTGTGTGCAGCAAATGTTGAATGTTCTTGTGTCACAATATTAAATTGCACCAAAGTAAAGCTTTATCCTGTCCAGGACAGTGCATAGGCACAAAGCATTTTGGAAGTCTGAACTCTGATGTAAGGGGATCATAATTGGCCCTCTTGCCTGTCCCAATATTCCACATCCTCATTCATTTGCCTGTCACTTCAAATTTGGCCTATACTCTGTAACCTCCCATTGACTGAATTACAACCCCCACTTCAATTTAATAGCTATCCAGAGCTCTTTATATTGTTATTTAACAATAAGGGCATCATACACAGACATGCTGCAGCATACAGAGAGAGAGAGAGAGAGAGAGCCTTCAGCACAGCAGGCTTACCAACAAGATTAATTACCACTGGCTATAAAATACAAATTGCCTCAAGTGGCTGGCTTCCTGTCCTGAAATAAGGCCAGTGTCGCTTTTTGCTATAGCACATGTAGTTCATGCTGTATTGGTGTATGGGCTTTTTAATACCGGGTAGGATGATTTTTATGGTAACAGTGTGTTTTTTTTCCCAGTGACAAGTTGATAGGCAGATATGCTGGTTTAAACATTGGCTAAACCTTCAAAGATACCAGCATAAAAAGAGCCAATTTAACAATGATGGATTCCTGTAGGATGCATGTAATTTGCACTAATGCAATTTGGTGCATTTGGTTTACAAGTTGCTAGAATGAGACTTGTCATTTTTTTTAGAATAAAACCCCAGCCTTTCCATAGCATGCCCAGCATAGCAATAATTTTTTTGTGGTCACCTTGCCTTGTTGTGTGTGACAGCACGGTCTGCGCTGGCCTGTCTACAATCAATACTACTCATGTGACTGTATGAAACTTAAGCTGGTGGACGTGCTTTGGGCGATCCTTTCTGAATGCAACTATTAACTTGATTCCCTGATTTCTCAGAGTTTTAGCAGAGCAGGCATGGATTTTTGTCTCGCTTTACAGAATAATTGTTGTTATTGATCCCCAAGAACAAACTCTTTGGCAAACAAATGTGCCCTGATTGTGTGGAACTTTTGCTTTGCTCATTAAGTGATCACAGAGTTTTCTAATAATTTCTTACACAAACTGGTGTCACAGTGCTTTACGTATAAAGTAAAGTGTGTAATACAGAATGAGGAATTAAACCAATAATGGGCTATGAGGCGTAATACTTATGGGAAAGATGAGTTTTACGCGGTGTTTTAAAGTCAGCGAGGGAAGTAACGTTATTTTAAAGGTTAAGAGCAGTGGTATAAACACCATTTGTGGAAATGGAAGAGCAAGTTTTGGGCTTACATGTGGAATGAAACAGTGGCGTAGCTAGGACTTTACTAGTGGGGGCACAAAGGGGCACCAGCATCTTATGGGGAGCACCAGCTTTCAGTGGTGTGGCTTGTTCAATAACCATTCATCCGTTTTTTTCAGTGGGAGGGGGCACCGGGAATTTGTGGGAGGCATGTGCCCCCCAGGCCTCCTGTGGCTACACCACTGGAATGAAAACATTGCTTTGTGAAAGCTAGTGAAATATTGAGCAATAGACTTAGTGAAATACAGAGGAATGTTTGTACATGTACTTGACATAATATTCTCTCTAAAATCATTGGTTTTCTGCAAGTACTCCACAAAGTAACTCATAACTTCCAGTGATTTCTCACAAACAGTCTTTGGCTATATTAGAGCTTTAGATGAAAAATACTTCAAGAAATAATGACAAACAACATAAAAAGTAATCACTGATGCACACAAAGTTCTAGTTATCATGCTGTTTTGTCTAGGTGATCTTGTTTGTAAAAACAGTTCTTAAAGTTTTTCAGTTTAATTTCTCTGCTATAAAGGATGCCTAATTCAGGACAAAAAACCAAGGTTTACACGGATATATGATTTAGATGCCTGTACTTAGGAAATGCTGAAATAAGAGCAACCAACAAGCAACTTTCCTTTACCTCAGGATAACTTGCTAGGCAGTTATTGTCTGTTGAACCAGTTGGCTATCGTATCTGTTATCTTGGGCTTGCAGGCCAACAGCAAGCCGATGCTAACCCTGTGGACCGACGCACCCAGAACAAACTCCTGGAGCAGAAGCGACGTGACTCAATGAAGAATTCCATCGACAACCTGAAGAACGCCCTGCCTGATGGCCGCAACCTGGCTGACCAGACGCAGCACAGTGTCCTACTCAAAGGTGAGCCCGGACTTCATGGAAGGCTATGTTCGAGTTGCATGACATAGGCCTACATATGGCAAGAATATGTGTGCCTGTGCATGGCACCGACTAGCAGCTTAAGCAATATCCCATGGAAATGTGTGTTGTTGTTGGTTGTAGCCAAATGGGTTTGGATGTAGCCTAAGATCTTTGATTGGATTTTCGTGAGAAACAAATAGTCAGTATGCTACATGCCCCTGTCCCTCAGATGTACATGTACATGTACATGTAGTGTAAGAAACGTGCCATCATGCCAAGATGACTTCATTCTCTGATGAACTGTAGCATACAACCACAGAGTTCAAATGTTTACCTGCACAAACATAGGAACAGCGTTTTTATCTTTTATAAGAGATTTGACAATTGAACTCCCAGTAATATCTCAGATGTTTTGAAGCCATATCACATGCCATCATTCATGATGTCTGGCAGTAAGCAGTGCTGAGAACCACAGAGGTGCAAAAAAGATCCAGTTGGAGGGTGGGGGCTGTGAACGATTGGTTGAAGCTTCACAGCAAGAAGTTGAAAAGATCACATTTTTCCCTGATTTACTTTAGAAACTTAAGATGACGATTTGTAACAAGCATAACATTGGTACCTGCTGTGTTTAGTTGCATGTCTGACTTGAAAATTTTTTCGCTTGCCAAAAAAAAGTCCAGAGAGGCTGTTGTACAACTTGTATTAGGTAGTCATGGAATTTTGCCTCACCATCTGTGCACTGCATCTACCCGTATGTAGAGGATCAAGAGGCTTCATTTTCACGTCTGTGAGAAATCATCCTCTGAGTTCAATTTGTGAGGTGCTGTGACCCTTGAGGTTCAGTGACTAAGCTTCTAATTCATGCAGCAAAGACAAAGAAGAAATTCCCTGAAATGAACGAGGTGGAGGAGCTTCTGAAAAGTGCCACATGTCCAGGGCTGGCACAGTTTAATTGGCATTGGGCGGAAAACAAGAGAGTGAAAAAGCAATTGAGCACCGTGTGCCTTGCCAGCTTTCTCAATTCATATTTGGGTAATTCCAGAAATTAGGGATCCATTTTTTTTTCGTGCCCCTGTCACATCTGACATATGATTTTGTAAGTTCAGAATACATTTTCCAATTTCCAAGAGTGGTGAATTCATGCAAATTACCCGCCAAACAAATAGTAATAGTTTGAAATCAATGCTGGTGATACGGTATTTCCATGTCAAATAACTAAGGCCAGATGTAACACGGACACAGCAGTGTCACACTTTTGGACCCTTTATTTCTGGAATTACCCGTTTGAAAAATGGAGTGCCATATGAACTTCTTGTACATGTACTTCCTGCCTGCTGATGTAGCTGCAGCCCATATCAATTGTCCAGGCATCCCCCCTCTTCCCTCCATGGGCTGGCTTTGCTTAAGGAGGATACACCAACCCCCCCTGCAATCGCACCCCCTTCCTTGTGATACCGTGATTCAGTTCCCAAGAAATTTGCCCTTGTAATTGGTACGGACCCCATTCTTGGTTCATTGGCTGGTATGTCTTGTTTGGCCGTGCCCCTCTTGAACAGTTTACCTTTTTTTGCGGTAGGACCCGGCTTGGATAGATGTGCTGCTGTGTACTTATTTGCATGATGTTCCCTGTTCTCTTGGAAGAATTTCTGGTGATTCAGTTCCCCTTGAACAAGTTTTCAGCTTGTTTGTTATTCCTGATTACCTTTTGGTGCAGATTAAGTACTTAACATGTATCATACAGAACTCTCCTGGCACCACTGCCATACTTGGATCCTTTCCACACCAATTTGTAAGTGTGCTCACCAAACTATTTGCATTTTTAATACCTGTACCTGTAAAGTCAAGCTTAGCAGGTGGAGGCTGAATATGTGACCATGTACATGGTACGCACTACACTTGCACACCGAATCAGATCTTCCAAATTCGGTCTCACTGCCATTGCAGTGTTGAAGCTGCTGCAGTTTCAGTGGCCGTAAGACTTGACTGTACATTAAAGGGATTTATATACTGAGTCCACCCCCCTGTTCGAAATGTGTATGGCCCAAATGTTTGAAGTCACCCATCTGTTGAAATCTCCAATTGAAAACACTGTTGCATGTCAAAGCCTGTTGACAGAATCACTAGGAAATAAATGTAGGCATCTTCGTAACTGTGTATCTGACAGCTGTCAGATCCTCCCCCAGCGCTCTCAGTGATTCAGTTCCTCCAAACTTCCTCTCTAATTCGGCAATTCTTGTACCCCTTCTTCGATCCCCCATGCCCCCTTGTTAGTAAGTTGTCTTCATCTTGTGGGCAAGGCAACCCGTTAGCGCCGATATTGGGCTCGTATCCTCTGCCTGACACTCCAGCTCGTTGGTAGGTTCTGTTCACGCACCATTAGATCGGGCTTTCCTTTCTTGTTTCCTCCACTTCGCCAGGCTCTGAAACACGAATGGTCTGGTTGACTGTGTACTGGCTGCATCTTGTGGGGCACCACGAAACAGGTAAAGGGGGCCAGTCATGTTAGCAGTGTTCCCCAATTGTTAGAGATTTCTATGTTTCAACACCCCCCCCAAAAAAGCTTATACTCGTAGGCACACAGGCTGTAGTTTGAATGAAATGTTAGAGTGCTTGATGTTCCTACAAAGTTGCCACATTCTTTTGCAGTCAGAAATGGATGGAACAGAATTTACCTGTCAGTTTTGATGTTGAAATGTGCCTTGGTTTTTCTTTCAAAACACAATTCATTCTCATGTCGCAATCCAGTTACAGCTTCCACGTGAAGAATGGGATGTGGGATGTTCACGAAATATGGCAAATGTGTATAACTGTCGGGAAACACGGCTAACGTTGTAGCTGCTTACTGGCTCCCTAACTGTGTTTTGTGGATGGCTGCAAGGTTTCTGGCCTGACAGTCACTCTTGGGGGGGAGGGGGAGTGGGTCAGTTGGAGGTCAGGCCAGTGCAGACTGGTCGATACCCTCCGCAAATAGGAAAGTACACATTACCACAGTTCGTCTGTCGTCTCAGATTGCACACAAGAAACAAATTTTTAACCACAATTTTGGCTCTACTCAGCCTTCCCCTTGCTGTTATAATTTGCTAATTTTTCTACCGCACAAACATGAGCACGGGTAATTGTACTTGACAAAAGCACATGGACGAGCACACAGACAAAGTCTGGAGCCCTGAACTGTGATCGAACATGTACACAACACGAATGTTAAATGTGAGGTCAACTCAACATTGAAGATCATTTAAGTTGAGAGGTATTCAACTTCCGCAAATTGGCCACACGAATGTGTGTTCCAGCGTCACAAAGTCGTGTTTACATTTGCTTTTGCACACAGTATGACCCAGCATTTACGGTAGGACATTGGCTACTGCACTTTTTCAATTGTTACGAATTTCAACTATGAGAGCATGGAAAAAAAGTACTTCACTATATGCAATTACCATCGACATGTTCTTCCCCTTCCAAATACCCTTTCAAGCTTTTTCTGGTGTTTTAGAGGTTGATCCTCAATGGAATAATACAGTAGACGGTGCTTTTTGGTACAACTGCATGTGTGGATTTAAATTGTATGTGAAGGGGCCGGGTAGGGCTTGCACAAAATATTTTCTTCCTGGAAGGACTGTCTGTGCCCTCCTAAGCCCTGCCTTAACTACCACAAAATATTGTTGGTGGGCTCATTTCAACATGGAGTCCTTTGCTTAACAAACTTGTAGATCGGAAAAAAGAATTTTTGCCTGACCTTTCGGGAAAATGACTCCGAACCCACTTAGGACTTGCTGGCGGAGTATCTACGGCGTGCATCTATGTTAAATATATCTTGCGCCTGAGGCTACTTGGGGGGTAATAATTGTGTTCAGATGTTCGTAGCAGACACGAGCAGCCGGAGCAGATTTGGAGCTGGTCTGAATTGGAGCAGGAGGAACGTGAACCTGTGACCCATTATGATTGTTGTTGTCACACGATGTGCAATTAGACCAAAACCAAAACAAACGAAAAAATTGCTGATTGCCCGAGAACCTAAACAGGCCAGCGATCATCATGCTGTGGTAAATGTTTGTGGGCTTCAAGCAGTGAAATAGTTTTCAAGAGAATGCAAGGTGAATACTCCTAAGTCTTCTCAGGATTGATTGGAGATGAGTACAAAACCTTAAATGCTTGGAATCCCCACTCTTAATGATTGATAATAATGAGCCTTTTTAAAATTCTCTTAAATGCATTCTATTGCACCAGGAATGTACTGAAAACTGAAAAAGGTCCAGAATTAGACTGGTCATTGGTCTTTTGGGAATTTAATTCATGCACCCTTGACCCCTCCATTGCACACACAAACAAAACTAAAAGGTTCCACTTGTTTGTTTTTGTTTTATTCCAGTATTATTGTAAGTCCAACTGCTCCTGGCAACTTCCACAGTTATAGTCCAGGGCTATCAGCCTTTTGAGGGTCATTTTTTTTCTCTCTTCAGAGTGGGAAGTAGGGACCCACCTAAAAAATTGCCCTGAGCTTGGTAAAACCCAATGGGTTATCTCTAGGGTTGGCTATTTAGGTTAGGACTAAGTTCATGGCTGGTCAACTTAAGATTAAACTTTTTGGACAAATCAGACAGAGCTGTCAAAGTGACAAGCTAGAACATTCTTGTTACAAGAACTTGTAACATTCATATTTTGGCCTTTTTTGGTTTTAATCTATGACATCATAACATTTCCTTGCCACGTAAATTGTACTTTTTTTCAGATGGTGACGATAGAAGCAGTATTGGTTTAGTTACTGTACTTTTTTTAATGTAAGATTAATATATAAAGACCAATTTGTTTTATTCTCTGCTACCGTTCATGGAGGGGAAAGTTATGTTCTAGTTTTTGTATGTGATCCATTACCAACTTTTTATCAGTGGAACGTGTGAACATGGAAAACAGGTGTGATTGCTATTGGAGATCCACAGTTGGCTGGATATGAGCAAGAAAATTGATGTTATCTATAATGCTGTTCACACGTGCACGTAGGTACG